CGAAAACGCAACCGGATATCATTTTTGCCGTTCGAAACTTTGTTGACAATAACAGAAGTCACCTGTCATTATATCATATCCACTTGTCATATTTTTAACGCTGACAGCTGTCAGAATTGGCGATGGATTTTTTTTCAGTATTTTTCACGTGTTGTGTAGGTTTTGTCAATAAATTGTGAAAAAAATAATTACTCGATAGCGTGGTTTGCCAATTTCAAAAAGTTTACTCACTTAAAAAAAAAAAAGTAAAAAGGTCGGAAAACAATCCCCGGACCCTGAAAACCCTAAAAAAAAAAATTACAACGATATGTGAAAAATTAACAACCTGACAACGCCGAACGTCTTTTTTGACATATAGAGAGATATCAGTGAACCAGATAGAGCGTATGAACCGTAATAACGTCAGGAGTTATTTTTTTTTTACGTAAAGTGGTATCATACTTTTAAATTACAGTTATCGGAAAACAGTTTTACGTAAAATTTCCTTATTCGTATGCGTTATTTTATAATCTCAACCTAACTTGTACCTTGTTTTGATTTGGTCAGAATCATATGGGGTCACATGACTTGAATTGTCAATGCTTTTTTATTATTTTTTAAACATAAGTCAAAGTGAGCATTTTTTAGGTGTTATTCGAAATAGCGCCTAAAGTAAATGTTGGGTAAATTACGTTATGCGGTAACGTTATTTCAGTACGTCGTGTTAAAAATCAAATCGCGCATACGTTTAATGTCAAAATAATGTTGGCGCTAATACTGCATGATGCTATTTGGGTTACCGATATCTCTCTATATGTCAAATTTCGAGGACGAAGTCGAATAGAATGTCTGTCGCCCTACACTTTGGTAACAATAAAAGATGTTACATGTCAAATCTGACAGCTATCAAAAGAAATTTGAAAAATAAAATAAAATCTGTGAATTAAAGTAAGGTAGGTAGCTCAGGTTTTTTTTTTGAAAATTCAACCATCAATTATTATTCGAAAACTATGACAGATATTGAAACGAAACTCATAGTTTTTGAAGATCTCGACGAGATCTACAAACCTGTTTTAGTTTTAGCTGGCTAAGATTTATCGTTTCCGAGAAAATCGAGTTTAAAAATTTTGAAAAATTTTCCATCAAATCTCAAATTTGACAGCCCGCCTCTTGAAAACTATCAAAGCGATCATTATGATTTTGGCAGGGTCGGTAGTCCATTTAATCCTCTTCCGAACAAAGAAAATTTCAACCGGATCGGTTGAGAAATAACAGAGTCAAAGTTTACTAAACAGATATTTATAAGATTATTTTTTGATATTTTTGGTATCACAATAACTATTTGTCCGTTACTAGTTTGCAATTTTACAATGTAGAATTGAAGATACGTGTAACGCTGACGAGTCCAAGAAAGGACCAACCAAATGATTATTTGTTGTTTTATCGAGACGATGCCGAGACATCATACCGCTGATCCGAACTAGCGCGAACTAACACGAACTAACCCAAACCCTATCCAATTTAACGTTAGTATAACAATTGCACGAAGTACAACCAGCCGTCTGTAAGACCGAGGTCGCACCCCGAACTCGTTATTACAAACACATGGTTCCAACTACCGCCAAGAAGACTCTAAACCTGGAAATCTCCTCAAAATATGAACGAGCACCTTGCAAGAAATCAATGCTGATCAACCAAAGATATAGGAATCCATTGCACAGAGTAAAGACTTACCCACGGACTGACATAGGATCAGACCACAATCCCGTAGGCCGTAGTGGGACAAATTAATAACATTCAAGAAAGTTAGGCGCAAAATCGATATAGACAACATAAACAAAATTGAAGTACAAATAATAATTAAGGAGAAAGTAAACCGTGTCCCCGGATCAGGGACCGAGTAGCGTAAAGGACAACTAGAATAGCTTCAAGGACTGTCACGAAAAACGAAATAGGACCACCAAGGAACAAGAAGAAGAAATAGGTGACAGGGAAAATATTGATACTCATGTATAAACGAAGAACTTTTAAAAACAAGGAAGAAACTGAGTATAAAAGAATCGACAAAGAAATTCGAAATGAGATCCGGAAAGCCAAGGAACAATGGTTACAAGAAAGGTGCACAGAACAGGAAGAATTGGAGAAGCATGACCACTTTAGGCCTTGCAATTTGAGTAACATAGTAAAGGACAATAGTATCATCTCCGATCCCAAGAAACTCCTCTCGCAACAACTTTATGCGGAGAATACCGAAAGAGATTTCAATGAAGAATATGCAGCAGAACCAGACGATGTATATACAGAGATGATAACGCTGTTGAATGACGAGGACATAGACTCCCTGGTGGAGATATTCAACAACATATATGAGACGAGCGAAATACCTCAGGACTGGTTCCAATCAATTTTTGTACCAATCCCAAAAACACCAAACGCAAACCACTATGATTAGTTCGATGATCAGCTTGATGAGTCAAGTCTTGAAAATTTCCTGAAGATAATCCATACGAGAATTCACAACAGAGCATTAGTGAGAGTGGGAAGTGTACACTACACAGAAGAATTTGCATAGAAGAAAGCAGAGGACGGCATCAAGAATAATGAACAGGTTGTCAACAACATACGTAACGCTGATGACACAAGCATGATAGCAGACGGCCAGGAAACATTACAACGCCTTGTTGATAGAATGGCTATCGAAGGCAAACGACTCGGCCTTGAGATTAACATAAAAAAACTAAGGCTAATGATGGTTAGCGGACGGAGAGTGTGTCGAAGGAAGAAGTTCTAAATAGAATGGGAAAACAGAGTGAGTTGTCACAGATAGTGGAAAGAAGGAAAACTGCATAACCTGGGTCATCTCTTCAGAAATTCCAAGTACCAACTCCTAAAGCTGATGATGGAAGGAAAGATCCAGGGTAAGAGAGGCATCGAGAGGAAGAAATATTTGTGACTAAAGAATATAAGAGACTGGACAAACCTCGACGCCCATACACTTTTCAGAGCCGCGCAAGTTCGAAACGAATGTCGCATATTAACATTCATGAATGGATAAGGCACCTTTAGAAAAAGAATCTGTCGTTTTATACCCCAAACCTTTTTTAAATTTTCCCTTTTTCCAAAGGTACAAAATACCCTTCTCAGCGAACTAATCAAATCTTGCCAGAAAAAGATAAAATCTGTGTTTTACACGTTTTGCTAATTAGGTGTATCGCCCAAAGGGCTCGACTTGCGGTTAAACCCCACGGAAACTTTCCGAAAAGTAATTTCGTTGTTTATTAAAAAAGGTTTGCAACTAAAAATATCGTTAATTACGGGCTTAATTAGTCACCATCCGAAAGTTTTCCAGCCCGTAAGTGTGCATATATAAACGAGGTTAATTCCGTGGGGAATGTTTTCAGCTTAGTATTAAAATTTATGCACTTTAATTATGTAGGTGGTATTAAAAATTTGTCCATTTCAACTTGGAAATATTTATTTATACACCTTGTATAAATCAGCCAGAGACAAATTTCTAAATTATTTGCATATTTCAATATATGTTTTCCTTTTAAGTTTCCTTACATAGGCCTCAAGCAACAAAATCCATTTATAAGGCGCGAGTGCGAATGTCTTTTGAAAAATGCATAAAGCAAAGTGGAAGAGCAGAGCTCCACTGTAAATATTGACGAAGACAAAAAGGAAAATGTAAACCGAAGCCGCCCTAGATATTTCTTCGATCCTGGATGGAATTTCACAATGAAAAAAAAAAATCCAATTATACATTCACTTATACTACTCGGCAGCTAGATTTTGGTATAAAAAATGCAAAACTAAATGTGGCAAAGCTGAGAAGTGAGATAATTACGTTACGCTGTTTGAAATAAAAGCAACCAAAGCTAAATAGCACCAGCACCAGCAAAATTAAGCAAAACCCCATTTATGTAAATGTTCTTACACTTCGTACGTACGGATCTTCGTAGCTTACTGACTAGTCGACCCCAATCGGGACAGGCGACGTTCTGTGAAAACATTTTATTCAATAATTAGTAAAATTTTACAAAAACGAATATAATTTTAGTAGACAAACAACAATTTACATTTCAGTTCTCTTATACAGTCAGGTTAATCGTGTTAGACATAATCTGTAACGAAGCATTTGAGTTTCAACGTGCTTACACATCTATTGTAATATGCAAGGGACCCTCGACAACTCCTTAGTAGTGCATTAATGATGGCTACAGTGAACAACGACATAAGACAACGGGGTAACAACATTGCGTCTACTTACTTATTCAAGTAACAAGGGTGGTTGTTGTAACCTTAGGAGTAATTTGAATAAATTAAGTTCATACACTGGGACTAAATTTGAATCAATAATACACAAAATAGCTCAGTTCTGGCTGAATAATCCAGCACAAACAGAAAAAAAAATAAAACACGGAAATCCATATATTGCAATTCCTAAACGGTATATTTGCAATTATTTCAGCTGTAATTGGTTTCATTTTACGAATTCCCTCGCGAACTCCGTTGTCTTTTTCACTAGCGGAATTTCTCATTACTGCCAAAATTAATGGCGAACAAACACACATGGTTAGGTTAACAAAAACACAAACAAACAAATTATTTGGGGGCAACATTTTCGTTATCCCCAATAATTACCGGTTGTACCTTGTTTTTTTGTCATTTGATAAGTTGCCTGTTCCTATGGTTAAAGAATCGGAACTGCAGCCGCATTTTTAAGTCTTTTCGAACTGTGAAAAAGGGGAACGGAGAAAAAATAACATCACATAACAAAACTACAATAATTTTATTTTTAAAAGGCTATGTTTGGTAAAACAAATTATTCTTATACTCACATAATCATAAAATACCAGTCAGCAATTATTGGAAAGTCAGGCATTTCGCATACAATGAGTAATTTGCAGTTTCCAAAACCTTTTACCTCCTACTTGAATTTAACATACTTACACGGTGTATGATACACATATAATAACAGGACATAATGTATAGGTATGTACACAATAAACAACAATGTCAAAAAATAATGTTTATTTTAATCATGCATATCGAAACAATAACAATTTTTTTTACACACGTATAAATATAACTAATTAATTATATTGTTTAATAAATATACACAAGTAATGAAGTCGTATTACATGTCCTAATATTGGATGCGGATAGGTTTTTATGTTAGGCTCTCATTCTATTGAAAATGTCTTCATTATATTATACCTCTCTGAAAATTCTACCATGATTTCATGTCAGTTTAGTGCAAAGAAAATTGGGGTTTCGGGGACGCACCGGAAATTCCCGCGGTTAGGTTAATTAACATTAGCTCACCTGCTCGCGGAAATTGCCTGCAGATTAGCTTTTGGTGAATTATTTTTGTTCGAAATTCCAGAAAAACCACCATGTAGACCACGACTAATCGTTCAAAATTAGAAATAAACAAATTAATCGCAACGTCGCTGTTATCGAAGAAACATTCTTTATACGCTTTTAATTCGTTGGCAGAAAAAAACTTATAATTCCCAGGAATATGTCACTACTTCCCAATTAAATAAAGTCTTCCAAGAAGATTGTGTTTTATGGTGTTTCTGTGATTTATATAACAGAAACAATACATAAAATGAATAATATTCTGTAGAAAATTGAAAACTTCCAGAAACAATGCCGGGGGCCAAATGCAAACTTGCTTTGTTGTTCACTGAGTTTTGAGTACCAAAGTTGATCATAGATGTCGCCTACTTCGGGGCCTTTCGCGAATAGGGTATGAACAATACAGAAGTGTATATTCTGGCCTAAATCTTTCCTGAAAGAATACATTGCTTTTCAGGAATTAAACTATGCGGAAAAGTTGACACGAGAATATTCGGAAATTCGTTTTCCTACAATCGCCCTAGAACGCAGGCTTTGTCGATTAGATTTGTGATCGTAAAGTAGGCGTTTCCTGATGACCTTTACTTTGCCGCTCTAGTACTAAAAACGCTCGCTTGTAAATTTTGTATTTTCCCAATTTTTGATTCCCACGTTTTCTCCCCCTATTTTTTTCCGGCTTTTTTTTTCCCGAGTTTTTTTTGTCACTTTTTTTTTCGAAGTTCTTTTTTCCCGACTTTCTGTTTCCCGACTTTTTTTTTCCCGACTTTTTTTTTCCCGATTCATTTTTCCCGACCATTTTTTTTCTTGACTTTTTCTTTTCCCAACCATTTCATCTTTTCCCGACTTCTTTCTTCCCGACTTTTTATTTCTCGACTTTTTTTTCCCGGCAATTTTTTTTCCCGATTTTTTTTTCCCGACCATTTTTTTTGGTGGGGTTATAAGACCCATGGTGACTTACGCTGGGTTGCGTTCGAGAACCTGGAGTTTCCTATAAAAATCACATAGTTGCCGTTCGAAAAGGCGAAGCGTGGATAAAAATCACACGGTTTTCGACGTTCGGAAAGGTGGTTGTCACGTACTGGTGCGCGCACCGGACACTCTAGTCCTGACTAGAGTGAAAGGACCCCGGAATATTTAAACGGAAATTGGTTACCCGTGATATTTGGATGAAATTTAAATATGTTATTATAAATGCCGTAAGCAACATTTTTTACTATGAGCGCAACCTTGTATATATGACAGGTGAGGCGGTATCAGCTGTCAAATATTGGAATCTAATATTCAAAAGCAAGGTAACTATGGCAGATTTTGATGAGGCAAATATCGATTCCTGATAAGTAGACCATGGAAAATCGAAAAATGTCAACCATTTTGACATCTGTCAAAACCCTGCCAAACGATAGCGCCCATTTTTCTCACAATTCGTCGTTAATTTGACAAAGGGACGTATATGAGAAATAGACGATTCTTCGTTTTCAGGGAATTTATGTCGCAAAACATCAAATTTATACGCCTTCTAATTGGCGCATATGAACTGCTACTAGTTTCTGAGTTATACACATTTTTCTTATGACGTATGTTTTGAAACAAGAAATATGCATCTTCCTAAAAGGCGTATATCATATACGCTTGTAAAATTTGAGAAATTCAATATACGCCCATTAGTGAAATTAACGACGAATTGTCACTTTTGAATATTTCATTATGTTCAAAATATGGAAAATTCAGAACTGTTAAAACCTGTCATTTGTTTTAGTAGAAATGAAAATTTAAACATGGTTTTTTGTCGTTTTAAGATAGTTTAGTGGTGATAAAACATTAAACAAAGCTTTCATAGGTATATCAAATTTTGACAGCAGACAGGATCTGACAATAGCTTCAATTGGGAAAATACTCTAATCTAGTTCTGTTCCATGGCATTATACGTAGGGTTTAGATTTTGACACCTGTCAAAATTTGATGTCTATCCAATAAATTACCTCAAGAGAAGAACCAGAGTGGAATCTTTTTCTACTTAATAAACAAATGACAAGTTTTGACAGTTTAATTCTTTTTTTTTTTTCAATTTTTGAACTCAGAATTTACATGAGTTAAAAATGTCAAATGACACATCATTAAATATGTATGTATATTGATTTTTAATTTTCATAAATTTCTATGATTTTTTGTGAATTTTTATGATTTTGATTTTTGGGAAATTTCATTTTTCTGAATTTCTATGATTTTTGAAATTTTCATGATTTTTGTAATTTTTGTTAATTTTTATGATTTTTGTAGATTTTTATAATTTTTGTAAATTTTTATCATTTTTTTAAATTTTTATGATTTTGTAAATTTCTATGACTCATGATTTTCTGAATTTTTATGATTCTTGTAGTTTTGTTCAAATTTTAATTTTTTAAATTTTTTCAAGTTTTTATAATTAGTTTTTCGTGCATTTTTGTAGTTTTTTGTGATTTTCCATAATTTTCTAGGTTTTTTGATTTTCTAAATTTTTATTTTAATTTATTTTTTCAGATTTTTATGATTTGTTTTTCATACATTTTTGTGATTTTCGTAATTTTTCAAATTTGTATGATTGCCTTGAATTTTTGTAATTTTCAACATTTAATTAATTTTTATATTTTTTGCGATTTTCTTATATTTTTATAATTTTCTGAATTTTTATGTTTTTTTGTGATTTTTATGATTTTTTGTCATTTTCATAATTGTTGTGATTTTTGTAATTTTTTGTGACACAAATTATTACGAAAAACTCAAAAAATAATAAAAATTTTAAAAAATCATAAGTCTGAAAATTATAAAAATCACAAAAATTTACAGAAAGAAAAGTACAGAAAAAATCACAAAAAGCCACAAAAGTTTACAAAAAACAAAAAAATTGAAAAATTGCAATTATTTACAAAAATCATAAAAATTTAAAAAAACAAATCATAAAAAATTAAATTCAGAAAATCATAAAAATCATGAAAATTTACAAAAATATAAAATTTATAAAAATCAAAAAAATTCAAGACAATCATAAAAATGTTAAAAAACACAAAAATTTACGATCACTAAATGCCAGAAAAGTTTACTAAAAACACAAATCAAAAATTTGAGAAAATCATAAAAATGTTAAAAAACAAATCATAAAAAAATAAATTATGGAAATCACAAAAAACCCTAAAAATGTACGAAAAATATAAAAATTTGAAAAAATTACAAAAATCATAACAATTCAAAAAATCATAAAGATTTATGAAAATTACAAAAATCTTGAAAATTTACGAAAATCATAAAAATCATGGAAATTTACAAAAATATAAAATTTATAAAAATAAAAAAAAAAATAAAGAAAATCATAAAAATTCTCGAAAGTCACAAAAATCATTAAAATTTAAAAAATTTAAAAAATTATGAAAATCGCAAAAAACCACAAAAATGTACGAAAAATATAAAAATTTGAAAAGATCTCAAAAATTATAAAAATTTAAAAAAATCATAAAAATTTACGAAAATTGCAAGAATCATGAAAATTTACAACAAATTTAAGTGTGGATCATATAAATTTAAAAAAACACAAAAAATAATGAAAATCACAAAAAGCTACAAAAATTTGAAAAAATTACAAAAATCATAAAATGACAAAAATCATAAAAATTGAGTAACGAAAGTTCCAAAAATCATAAAAATTAAGAAAATCACAAAAACAATGAAAATCACAAATAATCACAAAAATGTTCGAAAAATATAAAAATTTAGACAAAATTTCAAAAATCATAAAAAAATCTCAAATTCGTGTTCAGCGACCTCCAAAACACTTGTGGTCCTACCCAGCACGTCATATTATAGCAACTTTTTAATGTTTGGTATTTGGGCCCCAACCGGTCGCCATCTTGGATAATTCTACTTCCGGTTGCCTAATCGATTTCTGGTGCTAATTTTTGATCTAGTCGTCGTCAAAAACATATGTGCCGATACGCCGCACTTGACAATATGCCAACTTCTGAAAGTTCTGTATTTAGGCCCCCGACGGCCGCCATCTTGAATTATGGTACTTCCGGTATTCGAATCATATTCATGTTCAGCGACTCCAAAAACATATGAAACAACATCTCGCCGGTCAATAACGATACACTTTAAGAAAAATGTCATTTAAGCCCTTGGTTTGGCCGCCATTTTGGATTTGAGGCGTTTGGAGGCAAAATTCGGCTTGGCAACATCCGGATTCGGATTCAGCGGGGTCGAAATACCCTAGAAACGTCAAGTTGCCGAATGTCGTACGAAATGCCGCTCGGAGTAAAATAGAGTACGATTTCTGGGAATGTCCTCCAGTCTATTATGGAAAACGAACAAGATGCAGAAGTTGACTCGGTAAGTTCACCACTCGGTCACCGTTCGAATACCTAGAGCAAGATTCGCACACCGAAAGGTGTCGGACCTCCACTCCTTGAAATAATTGATACCTGTCCAAGCACTGCAATGGAGTTTATGTTGGGCCTCCCCTCACTAGATATATTAGTGCGGAGCTTCGAGAATAATACAGTACTTGAAACTAAAGGAAGGGGACTTTGGCGGACACATGAGCATTATGAAAGAATGCATAAATGTGAACACAAAACCAGTTGGTCAGAATCAACACAACTACGAATTTGAACACTCCTGCAAAGTGACTATTGAGGGCCACAAGGGAGAAAATATTGTACCTTTGATAGGAAGAATCGGCTATTTTCAAGAATCGAATGCCGAGGAATCGAGTGCTTTGTGGAGTTGAATATTCCATTGAATACCAAGTACCGAGTACTTCCACCACCGATCGAATCCAGTGTAGTGAGTGACAGTGTCGGTCAATTCGCTCGCACTTCCCAGCAGTATATGATAACAATATTAAAGTTTTGTTTTGGTTTGACTCAGAACTAGTTCGGAATCATTCTGCACAATCTGCACATGCGCATGTTATAAAACGCGTTTTCGTTATTTCGGAATCGTACTCAAACTGTATTGACAGCATTTTGGTTTATTTAGAACCGAGTTTAGAACTATATAAGAACGATAATTCTGGGATTGTTCTTGAACTCAGTTCTTGCTCTGAAGGAGAAACTGTTGTAAAATTTTGTGATTTGCGGTTTGCTTTGTTTTTTTTTTGGTTCAGAATTAGTATTAGAACTATCCTCCATTATTTTTTGTGCGCAAGCAGTTCTGCGCAATCCCAGAACCGTTCCAAATTTCGAACGGATATTACCCGATTCTTGTACATACTCCCATCCCATCACTACTGTAGTACCGAACAAACCAATTTGTAGACGATTGACTGCCCTAGGAGAAAGCCGAACCATATTTCAAGCGCAATAGAACTTGGCGCTAGAAAGTGTCTTGAAAGAGACCTGCGAAGAGCGAAGATCTATATCAATTCCGACAGTCAGCCAGCACTAAGATGCATGAAGTCCAGCTGGTATGGTACTGCCAACAACTCCTAGAGCAATTGGCGTCTCGCAATAGAGTCATTCTGACATGGGTACCAGCCTGAAAAGGAGTCGAGGGGAGTGAAATAGCGGACCAACTTGCAAGACGAGGACGTGCAACAGCATTCCACGAACCAGAACCTTTCTTTGGCTTTACAAAAAGCCATATATGTAATAGGGGAAGTCCGGAAACTAGATCACATTCAAAGAATGCCATGACTCAACATAACTGGTGCAATAAAAACCACACCAACTAGGGCTTTGGAAGTAATTCTATGTTTGACGCCCCTGTAAACTTATGTCAAGGAGGTCGTTTCAACCACAATGATGCGTTTCCGCACTGCTAGAATAGAAGCAAGTGCAAAAGTCGGTTTACAGAGAGCCCGCATATGGCGTGAGGCAACGAACTTTCTTCCATTGTTGGAGGCCACAGTAGACTCTGCAACACCATGCTTCATCTTCAAAAAGCACAACGCAATCAACAGGAAAGGCATTGGAAACAACACAGTGGCAGGGGTAAGTAACATCTACAGTGATGGTTCCAAAACTCAAACTGGCTCGGGATGCGAAGTATACTCCAAAGCTCTCAAACTGAACCTAGCTATAGCCCTTGGCTCCATGCCTAATGTCCTCCAAACGGAAGTGCGGAGAGGTCCATAACCTAAACACACCAACCATTATACAATAATCAATCTACAACAACATGGTTTTGGTAAACTGCATAAGAACTATCATGCCCATTCAATGCAAGCATAATATCAGCTTGGAGGAGTTCCTGTAAGAAGCCTATGATTTCAAATGGATCAAGAATAGAGTTTCGAACAGCTTGAAAGTGATCAACTAGAAACCAAAGGAAACAGGCAACAGATAAAACAGGAAAAAAGAAAAACTGAGCCAGTGAAGAAAAAAAAACATAAAAAACAAGAGGAATGACTGCTGATCCAGGAGTCAATATTAGTCTTCAAATATTAATATTGCTGTAAAAAGTTAGGTTAAACCGACAATTGATTGAAGTCGATTACTTCTTTAAAAATAGTCGAGAGTTTTAACGGAATTCGTGACATTATGCTTTATTTTTTGCATAAACTTCCACCATCAAAGACTTTTTGTCACCTACCTTGGAAAAGAAAATTGATAAATCGTGATATTGATTAGGCCCATTGTCCATAAAAGAAATAAAAGGATGAGAGATAAGGCATTACATTTATTTCTTTTAGTGCACAGCTTTTTGCGCCAAAATATCTAGCTTTAGACAAAAAAAAAATATAAATTAAAACGGAAGAGCATAAGCTTTACTAAGCCTCTGAAGCTTAGGACATGTAATACGACGTTCAAAAAGAAAAATCTCACCTCAAAAAGAGTACACTTTTTACACTGGCATACTTTTTGTTACTTTTTCTAATTTTCTCTAAATTCTTCATTTTCGTTTTCGGCCTGGATGTCGAGAAGAGAAGAGAGGTACGCCTGCTACATGTGTGTGTACGAAAAGCGGATTTCCACCAAAAACCTACGGAGATTTTATACGCTTTGAAGTTTTTTTTTTTTGTTAAGGTGCATTTTTGAAAATTCTCTAAAATCAGAAAATATGCTTTCGCCTGGAATAACAAGGTGGAAGGGATTTTGCTAGCAAGGGAAGCAAAGAGGTTTTCGCTTTTGAGATAAAATAAAAAATAGGTTTTGCAATAAATCAAGCTTGTATGAACCATTTGCAAATTGCTTCATAAGGATCATTGCATTAAAATTAAATTGCAAAACTTCAAAAAGCCAACTCCCTATAGTTCCGCATTAATATGATCGATTTTGCCAGGACTGCGAAATACCGTCCACAGCACAAGGTAACTTTACTTTCTGATCGACGTGTAGTTTGTAATTAGGCTTGTGTGCGGTCTCTTTTATGCAAACAATGGTCTTGCATGCTTTGTTTTGGAAAAAAAAAGTTCTCTTTATATTTTGAATTTAATTGGCTGCGCAGGGACTTTTAGTAATAAAATAGCATTATATACAGTCTTTATTATGCCTTGCCTATTGAAGCACATTTTTCCAGAATAATTGAATTGAATTTATAACAAAATGTAACTTTTCCTGGGGTTTTTCTTACAAACATCAAATTTTTTTCTCGTGTGTATCAAGTTAAATCAAGTATTGCAGTCATGTCGACCAAACCCCCCTTTAATATCGATTCGGCCTATTTTCTTTGGACTAGAGCCAAATGGGTTGAATAACTCTCAATAGGATTGAATCTGTAATAAAACCGACTATTGACAAATCTATTTCAAAAGAGATACGAACGAGTGAGCAACTAAAGCCCACAGAGAGACGCCGAACATCTAACAGAAAAGTTGCCGGGTAATTTGAGTAATGAAAAGTCTTTAAGAGCGGATACGAGAAATGGGTTTGTAATATTAACGTAATAGAATTTCAAAAGGATAATTAATTTTAGACATAATGAATAACACTTACCTAGTGTAATTTCCCTAGAGGTAATTATCTAGATTAATCATTTGAAAGCTCTTAAACAAGGCAATCCCATTGTATTAGGTTACTTTATTTGTCATTTCGGAAAAACAACCAATAACAACTAGAAACTCAAAATGTAATCTAGGACAGTCAATTATATTATGTGGGACACAGGTCATAAAATGCCCCATAAAATGTTCGATTTTTGCTGTAATTAATTTATGCTAGCGAGAAAGGTCAGTCAATACCTAAGCTAAACTACTGGACGTGAAATTAGCCATCGGCAGAGGGAAATTGCTTTCCACCTGTTTTTATTGACCTATTTTGCTATGCCAATTTATTTAGATTAACTTCTCTGTTGAAAATCATGCTTGAGGTTGGACTTGGACTATTATTTCAAGCTTGAACTGATAATAATAAATAATAAGAAAAGGAAACAATTTAGAAAGGATACAAAGCAGGGCTTTCCGAAGATGATAGAAATATAATAGGATTGAAAAATGAACAAATGGATCAGTAAGGAGTAAATCCTGCTATAAGAAAAATAAAATATGGAAAATCTCCAAGACCGGACGAGTTGCCCTTTGAAATCAATAAATTATTATACAGGGTGTTCCTAAATATCATGTACAAACGCAAGGGGGTGATTCTTTGGCTTATTTCATGACTAAAATTTCTAATGAACATAGGTCCGCAAACGCGTCGTTACCGATCTACAGGGTGTTGAAATTTTAATATTTTTTCAGTTTTCTCTTTATAGCTCCCTCAATTTTTGAGGGATTTAGCTCAAATTTGAAATATAGGTTACGCAATAGGAGCTGAATGATTGCACATGTCACACGTTTGCCAGAATCTACAGGGTGATGTTTTTTCAGGGGTCATGCCCCCTTTTCTGCCCCTGAACTTTTTCGCAGTGCGCCGCTGGTCGATTCTAAGACACAAAATAATTTTTCTACCTTATTTAGAAACTTTTTGTTCTCTTGTAGTTTTTTCGTATCACCGACCCTTATCGAGAAAAAAATTAAAAAACAAATCTCTGTAATTAGCTAGATGAAACTAAAGTGACTCAATAAACCTTTTCCACCTACAGTAACGACAATAGAGGTCCCGCAGCCATATTCTTGGTAATTTTTAATAGGAATCTAAAAGTAAGACACCTCTCGCCGCCATATTGTTGCTAATTTTCAATGTTAATACATTAAAATTTCAACACCCTGTATATTGGTAACGAAGCGTTTGCGGACCTATGTTTATTAGAAATTTTAGTCATAAAATAATCCAAAGAATCACCACCTTCTGTTTGTACATGATATTTAGGAACACCCTGTATAGTATAGTCAATCTAGGCAGGTTTATGCAGGTGAGGTAGAAAAAATTAGTAACAAAGTGATCTCTGCGAAAATGAGTAGTCGATAGGGTCCTAATTAATCCCTCAAAAATCGCACTTTGTCGCATCGGTGGAACTTGAAAAAAAATGGCCGCCATCTTGATTTTTTTCGGATTTATTGAATATTTCGTGAAGTATGCATTATATCAAAAAAACTCAAGAGTGCTTTTTTGTGGAGAATAAAAAGTTACTTATAATAAAAGAAATTTCAACACTATAAGCTGGAAAACAAAAAAGTTATTGGGAATTAATTTATTTAAAAATCTGTACATTTTTGAACTTTAGGTAAAATCGCGAAATGTATGGATTTTTCTAATAAAACTTAAGAATGCCTGTTAGTAGAGGATTAAAGATACCTAAAAAAACAACAGTAATTATCGAAAAGTTTGGTGTCAAAGGTTTAAAGCATGTTCTCAAGTTTTCAGTCTTTCTCTTTCTCTACTGTGAAGGTTTAGTGATTTTTTTATAAACCTTAAAGTATAGAATTTAATTTATTTGAATTACTTAGTGTCTATCCAGACAATACACAGACATCTTAAAGACGTCCCTAAGATGTCCACAAACGACATTCAGGACGTCTTTCAGACGTCGGCTTACGTCTTCAAGGCGTCTTAAAGACATTTTAAAAACGTCGTGTTACAAAACCCAACGTCTTTCAGACGTCTGCCTAAAGACGTCTTCAGAACTAATATTTTATTATTATTACTCATTTTATAACTTTCAATTTTTGTCTATTCTAAACGCTAGGGTCTTAAATTATTGATTTCTTTAAATGGAAACATACGAAAAATTCACTTTGGTAGAAAACTGTTTGAAGAAACAGGGCTGAAAATTGAAAAACAAGTCAAGAGCCTGAAATTCTGAAATACAGGAATAATGAGAATTCAAGAACATGGCAAAAAAAATCTAAGCCAAAAGAAAATTAAGAATTTAGGATAAAGAAGTAAGGAAAAATCAAGAGCCTAGAATAGAAAAAATTATAAAAATTCAAGAATTTGAATTGAAAGAGGAACATTTTCTTGTTAATATTTCATTATTATGTATTACTCATTTTATTTTTATTATTATTATTTATAAGGCTCTCTGGCAAAATTCTGAGGTTTGTCTAAAGTGTTCCAAGTTGACTGGGTTCTGGAGCATTCTAGAAGTTTTTCAGTAATTTCTAAATTGGGAAGTACGCTTCTTCGAAGGATCCATGTTAAATTTCAAAATGTTCATTTGACAGATTTACAGATTTTTAAGTATTTTAGAGCCCTATTGAAGTTCCAAAGTGAAGTTGAATTGGTTTAAAAGCATTCTAAAAGATTTCCAGTTCTAAATTGAATCGTTATTGTTCTAAAATATCTCTGAAGTTTCTAAATTGTTCCAAAATACTCCATTCTAATATGGTTCTGAAGTTTTCAAAATGTTCTGAAGCGCTACACAATACTGTTGGAAATTATGAGTTGAATTTTAAGTGTTTTGAACTTTCGAAAAGGCTTATTATTGAAGTTCTAAAGTGTTCTGTAGGATTCTAAATGGTTTCAAGTAACTTCTAAAATTAATTGAAAAACGAATTCTGTGGGAAATCTTTAAGGCGTCTTAAAGACATCTTAAAGACGACGTATGTTACAAAACCCAACGCCTTTCAGAAGTCTGCCTATAAAGACGCCTTTAGAACTAAGACATTCTTCATCTCCAACGAAATTTTTAAAAGAAGTCTTCAAATCTCTTTCCAATACATGAACCATTATTCACTTCTAGGCCTGGCTGAACGAAATAGTGTGGCTCAGTTCAGTTATCCTTGATATGTGAATTTAGGACATCTGATTATGAAAGTTTTTAGACGTTTTTTTTTGGTCTTCAGACGGTCAGATGTAATGCAGAATGCAGACTTAAAAAAGACGTCTTTAAGACTTTGTGTGCTGCCTGTGTCTGGGTAGTTTCCTGCCCAAATGTTTTTCTGGTCATATGCGTTTTTGCTTCCTCTCAACAAAAATATTTAGATCATTAAATTTATTGAATTTTTCTTCTATTAAATGTAGTTTTTAATTCTGCACCAAAAAAAAAAAATAATACTTATTTGAGTTTTTTTCAGATGTTTTGAAAAATTCCATGTTGCCAAATGAAATAAATGTCAATAACTTTTTCGTTTGCAGCTGATGGTCTTTAAATTTCTCCCATGATAGGTAACTTTTGATTCTCCACAAAAAAGTCCTCTTGAGTTTTTTTGATATAATGCATACTTTACGAAATATTCAATAAATTCCAAAAAAATCAAGATGTCGGCCATTTTTTTCCAAGTTCCACCAATGCGACAAAGTGCGATTTTTGAGGGATTAATAAGGATCCTATTGACTACTCATTTCCGCAGAGATCACTTTTTTACTAATTTTTTTCTACCCCAACCCCCTATTTTGACTAGCCTAATAACCGGGACAAAGGTTTCAAGCAGAAGTCCACCTGAAAAGTTCCTTTTTTATTTCTATGTTTTTTAATAATAGAACTTTTGCGATACTACTTCTTTTTCAATTGTAATTATATCAGTATTTATATTTCCTTGTGTGTGCATTGTAAATGTTTATGCACGGTAATGTATCATTCTACCTGCACTATTATCGAGTTCTTTGTCTAGTCTATTTTTGAACGCGTTGACACTTGGTGCTGATACTGTCTGCTCTTCC